ATACAGGCACAGAAAGGCCATGGGTGGTGATGTTGAGGTTGGGCTTCAACACTGTTTTGTTGTGGCCCTTCCTTCAATAGTTTTTCCTGCTGCCAACAGCATTTTGCCAGAAAAAGGAGTTGAAACATTAAAGAATTCATGGAAACCTATTTTTATTTTAAACATTTCTGTGCATTGTTCCATTTTAACCTGATGGGGCAGAACAGATATTCCCATCGGAGAGCAGCTATCCTCGGATCCTGCCAGGCAAAGAGCCAAAAAAGTGACCTGTGTCCCGATGTCCTTGTGCAAGAGGCAGACTGTGTGCCACTGACACGAGCGATGCATGATAGGTAATAGGCGTCCTTTGTGTGCAGGCATGGCTTCCCACGAACACGTGTGCCAGAATGGATTCTTGGCCAAGTTTAGCTGCTTCTGCTTCCTCCTACCTTCACTTACCTCTCTGTGTCCCATGGAGTGGACTTTCTCCTTGTCAGACAATCAGACAAGCACAGTGTTCCTGTTGCAGGACGAGGAGCTGAGAACGTTGGTCCTGCCAGTCTGAAGAGGCAGTTTCTGTAGAATGCAGAGGGTTCAATTCTCTGCAAGAGGAAAATCACCCCGCAAGGAACCTGTCGAGATTGAGGGCCCTTCCAGATGAGGGCTGGACCTGACAAAGGGATGCCATGATTCCACCCTCCCAGCGGATGACACCATTACTGGCATTTGGCAAAAACAATTTATTCCCGTTTTCTCAATATTTCATCGATGTGACTTGGGTGTTCTTCCTTTCTGGGGTGTGGAGTGGCTGTATTCAGGCCACTCAGCTCCAAACTTCAGCTTGCCTTAAGAAGGGGCCAAAGCACAAAATTGTACAATGCTTTATAAAAGAAAATGTTTCCTTTTTTGAAAGAGGGGAAAGGAGAAAAGATTTCAGGATGAATCAGGATGGGGCAACATGTCTGACTAACAGCAGATGGTGCCTGGCTGATACTATGTCCTCATAATGTCCCAATTTCTGAGAAGTGGAATTAGAAGGATTTTGATACAGAAACACTGTTAGTCATAACCTTTCTCCTTGATTTTTGAGAGATTTTTTTTTAAAAAAGAGCAATCAGAGCATTTAAATTATATTTGGCTCTAATACTATCTAATTTGGTCCACTCTAATAATTCACAAGTCCAAACCTCTGGTAAATAATGGATTGAATTTAAGTTGGCACAGATCTTTTTTTTTTTTTTGAAGAGCATTGCATGATTTGATGTGCTACCTGTCCATCAGGAAGGAACTGGCAGAGCTGGGAGCTGAATTCAGAGACTTGTCAGGGGACTGGATTAGAAGACCACCAAGGTGTTTTCCAGCCCTCGGATTCTATGCCTTTTTTTTTAAACTGTGCAACCATAGTGAAGGCTGTGGGGTAGCGTGGCCTTCCTTTCCTTCCTGGTGCTTTGTAGATGGGTCGTACTACCGTGGTTTCTAGCCTTCACGGCTATGTTGAGGATCATCGGAATGGTTTTCCAATATTTGCACTGGCCACACTGCCTCTGGACTCTGTCCAGATCTCGCTCTAGGCTATAGTGTGCCCAGAGGAAAACAAGGAGAGCAAAGACTTTGTAAATCAAGTCCTCTTGGAAAAAGCTGAATACATTGAGAACATAACTTCATGGGACGAAAGAAGGACCTTGGAGATCTTGTAGGGCAATCTCCTCCTTGGCAGGAATTTGATACCATCCCAGTGAAATGGTTGTTCAGTTAGAAAAAAAACTCCTTAGATTGCAGAAAGTAAGGAGAGACATAAAGTAGTCTTCAGGAAATGCCATTCTGCAGAAGTTGGAACAAACTTGTTCTACTGCTCCAAACGAGAGGGAGGGAGGGAGGGAGAGAGACAGAGACACAGACAGAGACACAGAAACTGCCTGCATGTCAGCAAACTTCCCAAGAGGAAGATCTCTTGGGCAAAAGATTTGGAGGCTCTCCTTTGGTGGAAGGAGAGGATATGGTAGATCTTCTATCTCAGGAGGATCTATTGTACCACTGTCCAAATTTGCAGGCCTTGCTCGAGGCATTGTGTTGGGGCTAGGTACCTAGTAGTGGTTTGCCCCTAGTCCCTTCAGCTTCCTTCTGTAATCGGATGATGAGGCAGGTTTAAAATCTACAATGGGAGGAATTCTGAGCACAATTCTCATAGATGAACAGCTCCACCTAGTGCCTTCATGAATACGTCTGATTGCTCAACTGGGGCACTCGTCTTTTATCAGTGTTCTAACATTTTATTGAGTTATAAGATAAGATACAAAATACAAAATAGGAAAGCAGTGAAGGGAATGATGGGGGGGAAAGATAAGTGAGGAAGAATTGGGGAAAAAAGTGTTGACTCCCTCTGTTGCAGTAAAATAAAGCATTAACATCAAAACACAACTTTTTTTCATAGTAATATAAACTAGCTATTTCTATAAGGATCTATCAATCTAATTGGTATAACCTAAAATCAAAGTTTCATTCTTTTCCACCTGAAGCACAAAGTTCAGAAGTTTATTACGTCCATGTGGAAACGAAGGTGCTTATATTCCTTTCTTTAATGGGGCACTCAGCTTTTAGATGCTACAGAAATAAAAAAACCAACACCCCAGAATAACAGAGTTGGAAGAGACATTCACTGTTTAAATGCCAAAGAGATGTCTCTGAAAAAAACCTGCCAGAGACCAAAGACCTGCCTCAGTTTTGGCCAAGTTGTTGAGGTCTCCTGAAAGAGGACAGAGGGGGAGCCCTCGCTTAAAAGTCATCACATCTTTGGAGAGCCTTGCGGAAGATGTCTGAGGTGTCCTTGGAAGCTGCTTCTATTTGAAGAAACCATGAGTGAGAATGGACTGAATCCACCAGAGCCAGCAGGAACAGAAAATGGAAAGGAAGCAATGCTCTGTGGCCAGGATAGGTGCAAAAGAGTGGGAAGGGGGGCTGAGTTTCTGCCTCTCTGAGTTTCCCCTTCTCTTTTAGGGGAAGTATTCTGCCTTTTTAATATATCCTAAAATATTTCATTTTTCTAGGAGAGGGGTGGGTTTTAAATTCCAACACTTGTTATCCAGGGCAATTGATGGCGAGGAAGGAAGGAAGGAACAAATGGAATGCTACAGAGTCCAGTGAAAGAGCCAACAATCCAATGATTTGAAGAGGAGGAAGAAGGAAGGAATGTTGATAAAAAATGTAGATCAACGGGTAAACATATACTTTAAGATGGGTCCCCAAACTTGGTTAACTTTTAAGATTTGAAACTTCAACTCTCAGATCCCATGGCTGGCTGAGGAATTCTGGGTGTTGAAGCCCACACACCTTAAAAGTTGCCAAGTTTGGAGAGTCCTGCTTTAGAAGACAACAGAAAGGATAGAAGAGAGATCTAGACAATAAATGTAGCAAAGGCAACAATCTTTAAAGAGGAAGCAGTTGTAACCCGTAATTATGGGATGGGAGAGCCCCGGCTTGATAACAGCCCACAGGAAAAGGACTTTGGAATGGTAAGCAGCACTCTTGAGTTTGTGTCAGCCGTGTGATGTGGCTGTAAAAGGAAGTCAGATGCAATTTGGGGCTGCTGCCTTCTCATCCAAAGTGCAATTTTCAAACCACAGAAAGTAAGCATTATGCACTGTCTTGCTTTGGTGAAACCCTCCCTGAAGTTTTGAGCACAGCCTGGCAACCTTCTTCTAAAATTTATTTTTTTAAAAAATTTGTGGACTTCAACTTCAAAGCTGGTTGAGGAACTCTGGGACTTGAAGTCCACAAGTCTTGAAGTCCACAAGGTTGGAGACCCCTGGCTTGAAGGATGCTGCCCAGGGGCCCTGATTGAAATGGAATTGCTCCAATAAGCGAGAGCAGCTTGATGCCCAAGCCAAGGGCTCCGTCCCTCAGGGATGCTTCAGTTTGGAATCCCAATGGGCCCGAATAGATGGTCTTTAAGCACTCTTCAAGCACCAGGGCTGGATTCCTCCAAGGCCCCCAGGCTGCGGCTGGTGAGCCGCAGACACTGAAGTCCAGACGTGGAGAAAGAAAGGGAGCCAAGGGCCAGCAAGTAGGAGCTGAAGAAAGTGCACTCTGCACATGCGCAGGGGTCAGCAGTAATAGTGGTTGTTTATTACGTTCTAATTTCTAAGCAAAGTACAGACACACAATGAACAATAAACCTATTACCACACCAAAAGGTCGACGACCCCACATCCTAAAGTTGCCAAGTTGGAAAAAACATTGCTTTGAACATTAAATTTTACTTATTTTAAATAAACACCCACCAAGGCTTTTTAAGATTTAATGGCAATGCTTGCGAATAAACCCAGGTGGGCTAAACAGCCGCTACATCGTCACATGCTTCGCTTGCATGCCACGTTAACGCGGGTTCATTCGGCAGCGCCATTCCCACGAAGCGGCCGCTACCCGAGGACAGGCGCGCGCTGCCATGACAACTGCAGGCCTCTCAGCACCCAGGCATCTACTTCCGGTTTCCTGCCAGCACGGCTCCACAATCCACCGCGCTCAGGAGCCGCGCTGTAGCTTTCTAATTGGACGGCCTGCTTTGGGCTGTACCAATAGATCGGGGGATAACCCGGGGGGGTTTGCCGGGAAAAACAAAGGCATAGCAGTTCCTCCGTTTCCCCTCTCTCCGTGGTAATAAGCCGCGGAGAAACAGAGGCTGCCCAAGGAGAAGCGAATAGTCGCACCCCCATCAGGTCGCCGTGGAACGGTCCACGGCCACGCTCTGCCCCCAGAAAGGCGGGAAGCGTCGCCAATAGGCGAAAGAGTCCCCCAATCGGCTACGTCCACTTGCGCTCTCAACGTACCTTGCTGCCATCCCCTTGCCGCGCACCTATGGGCCGGCGGCCGTGCCGATATGCAAATAGCGGGATTCCGGCAGCCAACGAGGCGGCGCGACCCCGCGAAGCCGCGCCGCGATTGGCCGGCGTCAGGGTAGCCGGCACGGCCAGCACGGTGGGATGCCCCCTTGCGGCTGAGGCGGCGGGAGGCATGTGCGAGAGCGGCAGCAGCGGCAACGGTGGCGGCGGGGCGGAGCCGTTGCCGAGCTGAGGCGGCAGCGCGGAAGGAGCCGGAGATGGTGGCCGCGGCCGGGGGCCTGCAGCTCCGCTTCGCCTCGCTCTTGGCCGCGGCGCTGCTGGCGCTGCTGGCTCTGCAGCCGCCACCTGGCAGCGTGGCCGGGGCCAGCCTGGCCGAGAACGTGGTCTGGGCCGTCAACGCGGGCGGGGAGGCCCATGTGGACGTCCACGGCATCCACTTCCGGAAGGACCCCCTGGAGGGACGGGTGGGACGAGGTGAGCTCGCCTCCCCGCCGGAGGCCCCCGAGCCCCTGGGGGAGCAGCCTCCACGCGCGGGGCGCCTCCCGCACTTGAGGCGGCTTGCGCACCCGAGGGGGGAAGGTGGGGGGTGGGGGGGCGCGGGGGGGGGGGGGGGGGGGGGGGGCTTGGCGTGGGGCGGGGAGAGCCGCCGGGCCGGCTGCTTGGGTGACCTGAGGCGCGGTGGAGCTGCCCTGGGTCGAGGCAGCCTACCTGGGCCTCCTGCGAGGCTGCCCTCTTCGCGTGAGAGGCTGCAGAGGCTGGAGGAGAGAAGAACGGGGGGAGGCTCTTGGCATCTGCCGGGGCCCCCAGCAATAGGAAGAGGGTCGGGCTCTGGGCTCGACAGCGCTGCTTGTCCAGGGGGGGCCGGGAGGGGGCTCTGTGCGTCGGCCAGGGCTCCCCAGGGAGCTGCCGCCCTGCCAATTTACCAAGCTGGGGGGGGGAAAGGGTCGGTGCAGAGGTCACCTTCCACGTCGTGGCACAGTGGCAGCTGCCACAGCTGGGGTTGGGCCCTTCGCTGCTCCAGAGAGAGGACCCCTGGCTCTGCACCCCTGGACAAAGGCTGCCGTCTCGGTACTGAGGCCAGTTTTTCAGTGGGGCCCCTTCCAGAGAAACGCTGGGCAGAGGCGACTCCGTGCAGGATTAGCCCTTCGCCCCGACTGCAGAGGGAGCTCCGGAGGCTGTGCAGATACTGGCGTGAAAGAGGATAGAAAGAGCACTGATCACCCACAGGCGCCGACTTTGAGTCCAAGGCACCGTGTAGATGTTCTTGGTCAGGAGTAGTGCGGAACTCATTACCCAGAACATCCATTCCCAGCTTTGGGGCTTCCAGATGTGTTGGACCCCAACTCCTGTGCATAGTGGAGCTCCCTCTTCCCTCCTTTTGTGGATTCTGCCCTTCCCATTCCTGCTTCTGCTCTGGGGAAATCATGGCTTCATCTCGCACGAGGCTTCTGTCTTGCTGCCTTGGTGTGAATTCCAGTGCACCCTCTGCATGCAAGCAGAAATTTAAGCAGCGAAAGATTCTCTGGGATACAGAAGGGAAGGTGAGGGATAGACCAGCCGTTCCGACCTTTCTCGGCTTCCTCTTCTCACTACTGTGGCCTGTTCTTTTTCTTCAGAGCTGCCCTCCCTGACCTGCTTCTCTTTTTTTCACCATGTCCCAGCATCTTGGTTTCTGCAGTTCTCCTTGTCATCTCTCTTGTTCCCCTTCTCTCCCTCTTGGCTTATTGTGGCTGGATCTTATGGCTTCAGTGACAAACCAGAGTTTCTGAATTCTTTTGACAAGTCATATATAATCGCCTTTCCTTGTATGAATGGTAAATGTGAGAAACTTGAGCATATGGCCTGTTCTCCTTTTGATTCGCATTGGATGGGGAGGAGGGACAGCCTGTCATACTCTCTGATGGAGATAGCTGTGGTTTCTGCTCAAAGAAATAACCACACCAATTCCAGATGCCTCTTTAAGGAACTGTTTGTGGTTTAAAAGCTGCTTCTTCTCTACCTCCTTGTCTTATAAAATGCTGCAATAATTTTTGCTTCCTGTTCTTTCTACATTGCTTGGGGGTCTTTTTTCCTTCTGCACTGTGCTGTTTTTTAGTGTCCCAGAACTGGGCTGGTGGAAAGTGGAAAACGTTAAGCCATTGCAAAGTTGCTTGACAGTTTCATCATTTTGTGTTCCAATATTTTTCTGCCTAAGTTTAGCTCAATTCTCTCAGCTTCTTTCCCATTCTCATTTCCAGGCCTGTTAATCGTTAAGCAGCTTGACAGAATTCTTAGAGGGTTATATTGGAAGGAGACAGCACTTTAACACAATGCTGCAGTTCCTGCTTGCACATGTCCTGTAGTACTTTCACTGCTAGGGGAAGAAGGCTTGATGAGTAAATTGTGTGGTTTTGCAAACAGATCATAATCTTCAGTGATGCCTCTTGTCTTCTGGGGAAGTTTACAGATATGGAACAGGATTTTGCTGCGTAAGCTGAAGATTCTTTCAGTGGCATGAGCTGTCAGATGTTTCAGCCCCTGAGTTCTGTAGTTTGTAAAAACTACAGTTTATTAACTTATTTGCAAAGAGAAGACAAATGCTTAACAGATTTGCAGTTGACAGACATAATTGGGATAGTGGACATCCTAAAAGGTAAAAGCAAAATTTAAAACTATCATGGTACACTAGAGAAATAGTCTGAAAATAAACAAATAGTTCCCATGATGAGAGATGGAAGGAATTTGGAGGATTAACTTTCAGAAGGGAAAACTAAAGGTGGAGCCCTCTTCAAATACCTGTAATCATGCCATATTGGTTAGTTGGTATCCTGCCTTTAATATTTTTACAAATAACTCAAGGTGCAAATATATCCAACATTCCTTCCTCCCCTATTTTCTCCACAACAACAACAGCCCTGTGAGGTGGGTTGGGCTGAGAGAGAGGTACTGAATCACCCAGCTGGCTGTCATGGCTAAGGTGGGACTTAAACTCTCGGTCCCCTGCTTTGTAGCCTGAAGGCTTCACCATTAGACCAAACTGACTTGACTAGGCCAAACTGAAGGATGGTCACAATATTGTCTTATCAGGGTCTGGAACATGAAATAATGGATTTAAAACTATAGGAAGAATATGGAAAAATTATTTTAGAAAAAAGTTCTCATGAGTAACAGTGGGCTTCCTTTCTCTGGATGTATTAAGTTAGTTTTTTGAGATATATTAATTTGGATTCCTGTCCTGAATTTGGATTCAATGGTCTTAGGCTCCTTTAACATTTTGATTCCCTGATCTTACCCACCCTCCTCATGATGGTGCTGCAGACATATTCTGACCATGGAACTGAGCTATCATCAGGTTTAATCACACTAAGCAAATTCCAGATTTCTCATTCAAAATCAATATGTGAGAGATATTAAAACAAACCTCCATTTCTCGCATTTTCTATGTTGCCATCACATTTCCAAATTGCCCTTTAATGTCAAAACAAAGATTCTTCCGATGTTTCAGCTCTTACACAAAGTACTTAGATGGACTTCTCCATGTTAGCTGCAATCTAAGGTATCAGCACATTTGAAAGTTACCAGGTTGGGAAACTTCAGCTTGCAAAATTTGGACTTTGGCACAAGTCTATAAAAAGTATTTCAGGCTTAAGCTTGCTGCCATATTCTGCTATCTTGTGACCGCAGGCAGTTGAACCATGCATTGTGTGCAGCCTGTCTTTTCTCAAACAAATCCTCAAGGAGTTTGGCTTCTGCAAAGAGAGAGGAGGGTGCAGGAGAAGATCTGGTTGTATATGTCCCAGTTGCCTCTTCCCAAGTGAATATGGCTTTTCCCCAGCTCTGTGCATGCCCTTGGCCTGCTTTCTCACTCTCTGCCTCATTTTTAGCATTAAAAGTGTGGAAGTCCAGGGAGTTTTCTGGGATCCTAGCTGTGAGAAAAGGGAAATTTTGGTTGCTTTTTTTCCTGTGTTTCTATGCTACTTTTCTCTGGTTCGTAATCTGGAGTAGTAAAAGAGAGAAAGTAAAATTGGGGAAAGAATGGCAACTCTTCAGCACTGTTGTGTAATGACTGTGCAAAGTACCCTGGCTAGACTCTGCTGCTGCCCAGGAGGGGCCGTGCTCAGGCCAAGGGTGGGCCGCCTTTTCTCAAATGCTACCAGGTGGGAAGGCTGCTTGTGGCAGGGCTATCTCTGTCCCAATAAAAAGACCCTGGCTTTGGGGCTGTTCGGGTCCATTTCTCTCTCGGTTGCTCCTGAGCTGGAGACAGCCAGTGTTAACTGTGGGGCTTGCCAAGGCTTTTCTGCTGAGCTTTTCTGGAGAGGAAGGCCAGGCAAAGGCTTCGAGCTATGCACAGGCATACGCCAAGTAGGGACTTGGGGTGGGCATTCTGCATTGGATAATGACTTGGTGCTGAGGTGGGATTGGTCTTTCCCATATATATTACATTATTTTACAGTAAAATGTGTTTGAACTATAAATTAAAACAGTCTTCTCAACCTATTTCAAAGCACTATTTAGTTGGGAGAGGAAGAAGCCTTTACAATTGTATTCTGACCATCTGTTGATTGTGTGTATTATTCTCTAAATCTAAAATAATATGTAATAACGGAGGGGGTTGGGTTTTTATACTGTTAACTTTTAATGTCACTCTGTGGGAGTCGGTGGCCATATATTCTATTTTATGTGTGCGTGTGTGTGTGTGTCATGGCTGTATCTTTCCTATCCAAGCTTTATGAGCTGACAATAGCAACAGGGAGAAAGATTGGACTGTAAGGAAGAAGAAAGGGGGGAATGGAAGCCCAGCTGAGCCTTGTGAGAAGCTTCAGCCAGCCAAGATCAACTATCTGGTACATGCAGATCTGGGAACGGAGAACCTATTTCCTGAACAATATACAAGCACCTGGTTGGATATTTGCAGATAACTGGGGAATGGTGGAGGGGGGCGGGGGGGCTGGGGGGGGTGGGACATTTACTTTGCGTTGTTTGCACAGGAAAATCTCAGATTCAGCTTCGCTATTTTTGTAACCACTTAAGCTTCAGTAAAGTAAAGTACACTCTTGGCAGGAACTCCAGTGGCCAGGAGTCTTTCTTTGCAAGTTGATTGAGTGGGACGGTTGAGTGTGTGTGTGTGTGTATTTCACAGTCATTAATATTTTCTATATTAATTTTTCCTGGAATAAATTATCTTGTGTTCTGAACACAAGGGTGTGTTTTCTATGCTGATTCTTTGCATCTTAAATCCTTTCTTTTCTAACTTCCTCCCCATAGTCATAGATCTCTAATTTAAATCCTGTATGGTGGAGGATCCGCTACCTACCGCTTTTGGGACAGATTCAATGCAGCCTCGGTTTGAACACCTTTCATGGAAGGGAATACAGCATTTCATGAGGCAGCTTCTTCCTCCGTTGCCTCTTTTAGCAGCCCATCTAACCCGGATCGGTTTCCTGGTAGTTTCGTCGGTCTGTTGGTTCTGGCCTTAGACCTCTGAAAGGGGCCATCGTAGCTCTCCGCAGCCTTCTGTGCTGCGCGCTAAATATACCCCCTTCCTTCATCCAGTCCTGGCCAGATTTGGTTTCCAGGGCCTTCCTTGCATTGATAGCCGTCCTCTGAGTGCACTGCAGGTTGCCAACGTCCAGGATTGGGCACAGGGTTCGGGGGGGGGGGGGGGGGAGCAAGTCAGAGGGGGGGGGAGGGACAGTTGCTTCCCATGCCCTGCAGCCTGTGCGCTGGTGAGCGTGTCTTCCCTTCCTTCCCTTGTTTTAAAAGTAAGCGTAGGTCCTACCTTAGGAACTCTACAATTCAAATCCACAAAATCAACACAAGTTGTTTAATCTTTATGGTGCTATGAATTGTTTTAATGTGTTGGCTACTGGACGAAGAAGAGGTCATTTTCAACCCTACAGGTAGATTTTATTACTTCATAATGATTTACATCAGTTTCCTCCTCCATTAGGTTTCGTCCTTGTTTTGATGCCTTTCTGCATTGTCAGTAGAGATGTAGGCATTCAGATTCACACATTAGAGGATTCCCTCCTTCCCTATATTCCCAGAGCCATTTCTTTTGCAAACATTTCTGGGCAGATTTTTCTGCGCGCTGAGAACCTGCAATTCCTCTTGTTGCAAAAGCCAGGCAGACTCGGGGACCCCCAGATCCATAGGTGGATCCCGGCGCTGAACCCGCCAAATGAGTAGAATAACCATTTCTCCTACTGGGAAATTTAAGATTGCAGCACACTTTGTTTTAATCTGTAGCATGCTGCAGTATTGAGAATTTTTGGCTCAAGGAAGGTCCAAGTGGGGTTCTTAAAGCTTAACTCCTACTTATTATCTATTCTTCAGACCCAGTTTTGCAATTCTTGATTAGAGAATGTTGCACACACTACTGTGGGTGAGTCAGTCTCCAGTGATGCGTGCTAAAGCTGTCAATCTTCTAATAATCGATGCTTAAATATAAATATAAACCAGCTGTTGCTTTTGGCTGACATACCCATGTCTCGTAAAAAGCTGCATTGTTTTTGAAGAGACATTCTCCTCTGTGTGCGTGAGAAGGAAGAGCGGCTTTGTAGATCAAAAGGGAGATTTGCTTTGTGGCTAATTGGAAATGCTCCGTTATCAACTGATATTGTAACCCCATGAAAGTCCTTTAGCCGTACTTAAAATAAAGATGCTCATCAGCCATTTGCACCTCGATTGCAGTCCGGCATTGTGTTGCTCGTGCTTGGTAGATGAAGTTAGAACCAGGGCAGGATTGCACTGACTTCAGTCCTGAATAACTTCTCCTCTTAGTGCCCGGGAGTGAAGTTTTCTTTCCCTGAATTGGAAGGACTTCCAAGCTGGATAGCACATTTTGCCCTAATCAAGTGTATCTAGGTCCTACAGGTCAATTGGAACGGGTTTTCCTACACATAGTGCCTGTCAGACCTACCCCGATTTGGTCCTTTATTTAAGAAAGACCCTTGACTCCGTTTATAGTGAAAGGGATACTTTTACTTGAAGCCAAGTGGGTTACAAAGCCAGAAGGGAATTTCGTGGGCTAAAATTTCCCAGTTAACTTCCCCCATCCAGCTCCTCCCCTCCCCTGGTCCCTATTGTCCAATTTCTGTGGAGATTCTCAGTCGTCCGAGGTCATGGTTGCCCAAAGGTGCTTTTTCAAGAGGCAACTGGACTTCTTCAGGTTTTGAATGAAGAGCAAACGTCTTCAAAGAAAAAACAGAAAGTCTAGTTGCCTCTTGAAAAAGCACCTTTGGGGCTATTGTCCAATTATATTTGAAAATAATTGTTTTGGGAACAGCCTCTTCAATGGCACCGGCTGGTTGGTGAGCCATTGCATTCCATTCCCTCAAGGCTTAGACCTTGAGATGGTGTCTCTGGAAGGTATGATGAGTCTGTAGCCTTCCCCCCACCCATTTGGCTCCCCCCCCCAACCAGGGCAGGCTGACAGCTAGTGAATGCAAGTGCCTCTCCAAACAACACCCCCATGACAACCATACAGCCAGTCCTTGGCTTATAACCACAATTGGGACCAGTATTGCCAAACAGGAAGGTAGTTAAGTTAGTCAAAGCTGATTTTCCAATCTTTCTTTTTTTTGTCCTGGTTATGCAAATCACCGCACCTGTTAAGCGAATCCAGCTTCCCTCCTGACTTTGTAGCTGCAAAAGTCACAGACGTCAGTCCCATGGCCCTGGGGCGTTGCAACCACTGTAAATACATGCCAGTCACCAAGTGTCCAAGAATTTTGCGACCATACGAGATGCTGCAATGGTCATAAGTGCAAGGACCAGTTGTAAGTCACTTTTTTCAGCATCATTGTAACTTCGATTAGTTGCAAGTCAAAGACTACAATACGTAGTTTCAGATATCTGTGTGGTCAATGCAGAAAAACACAAATCTGGCTCCCTTTTGTCCGCCACAATATTTTAAGAAGAGTATAAATGCAATAAACATATATGTAGTCCAATGATAGAAAGGCTGTTTTGGCAGAGTCCCTTTTCACTTGTGGTCTTAATCCACAAGTTAATAATCCAAATTTTCTTCTGAAAGAAGGAAGGAGAAAGTTTTGTGCCTCCTCTTGGTGCAGATTCTTTCACTTTGGCTTTGCTGCCTGTGAGAGCAGGAGGAGTTCTGGGGTTTTCCGTGCATGCCTTCTCTTGGATTGCTTTGAGAAAGTTTTTAGCTTCAGGGCTTCTGGCTGGTTTGTGGCTTGTGATTTCTCAGGTTTTCCTCTCAGCTAAGTTCATTTATTAGGGGGAAAAACCGCTCGTTGTGTTTCTAAACTTTGAATAGCTGAATTGCAGGTTTTTTTTCCAAGTTGAAAATGGAAGGAAACTCCTCTGTACTTACATGGCAAAAGCCCTGTTTCTGGAAAGGGTGTGCTTAAGCATTTGCACACAGGAACTCAACTTTTGCTTCAAGCCTGCTTGAATTTTGCCATGACTTTACTCTGGGCTCTTTCGGGGAGGAGAGCTAAGCATCCCAAATGGGGGCATCTGTGGAGTGATTTGCCTTTGGCAGAAGTCCATGGAAAGGAGCGACAGCTTCTGTTATTGAGATACTGAATGTACTTATCATTTCTCGCAGGAATTACAGGGATTTTTATGCCAAAAACAGCTGAATGAAGGCTTCTGCTTGGCTATAATAAGGCTGAGGTTAGACATTTTGACATCAAGTCATAACCTTTACAGAGCCTAATATTAGTTCTTCAAGCATTTTCTTCTGGGCTATGGGTGGCTGAAGTTCCTTTTGCTATTTTGTGGTTCCTTTCTCCTCCCTCCCTCCCACATGCAGAACAAAAGAGGGAGGAGAGCTACCCCAAGGACACATCAGAAATCAGTTGTGTAAAATGGCATGAGCTCCTTGCAGATCTGTTTTGCCCATCTGTCAAAGAACTCTTGAGAAGTTCTCCTCTTGGAATTTAAACCATGGAATGCATAAACCATAAGAAAACATCACACAAACACTTAAAATGATAATAACCCAATGAAGAGAATTACAGCATCAAAGTGGTTTGAAAATATATACTAGTCTTCTACTAATAAACAGGTAGTACTTTACTTACGACCTTAGGAATTACGGTCATAAGCCATGCCAATCATTAGTGGGTCACTGTGCGACTATGCCTGATTTTATGATCCTTTTTGTGGCAGTCATTAAGAGAATCATTGCAGTCTTTAAGCGAACCCCGTGGACATTAAGCAAATCCATTGTCTGCAATGGACTTTGTTTGCTGGAAACCAGGAATACTGGGTTTCAGCAAAAGAAACTGAATCGCAGTGACGTGACCATGCGATACCCCAGACCGCTGTAAATGCCGGATGGGTGGGTGGCTGAGAACCCAGAATATCATCACGTGGCTGCAGGGTGTGTGTGTCAGAATTTCAAATCGGGGTTGTAAGGGGAACGATAATGGGATGCCCACTATAACTCTGAACAGTTACTAAGTGACTGGTCGTAACTCGAAGGACTTCCTGTACCACCAATTCAAGATCTTAGTTTTGTAACCCGAAAGATGTAACAGCTTGTATTGCAGAGAGAAGCGCAGCTGTCTCAGTTTCTCTCCAGAAATGAAATCCCAATATTGAGCAGCCCCTGAAAGCTTTTTATTTCTTAGTTACCATCCCCAAATCCATCAACTGGATTCCTGGGGAGACGTGGTAGCCCACAAACGTGGACAGAGGGATGCAACTAAAGACACAGGGCTTTGTTTCCAGTACTGTACCAGAGTTTGAAGCTCCCTCCCCACCAATCGCTTCCTGGTTTTGTCAAAGAGTTCCTGATTTAGCAGCTTAATTTAGGAGGGAAGAAAATGCTCCTCTGTTCCTGTTAAGCTACCGAAAGTCGGAAGGTCCTTCTTGATCTGCCACACATGTCGCCAGGAAATAGGCCAGTAGATCCTGAGCCAGCATCACTGGCAGAACTCTGGGGATAACTTGTGACCGACTTGGTTTGAGCCTGCAGGTGTCTTTCGAGTTAGTTCTGTGTGTGTGTGTGTGTGTGTGTGTGTGTGTATCATTTGATCAGAGAATTCTTTCCTTAAGCTTTGTTGGTGTGTGCAACTTACAGGCTGCATGAAGCCCTGAGCAGCTAGTTAATGAGGCTCCACAAGATTGTATCAAAAGTTTTAAAAAGGACATGTATTATTTATATGCATTAACTATACTGTATGGTTCATACTGTATGCGGCCCAAGGCAGTAATTGCGGCCCAGGCAAGCTAACAGGTTGGTGACTTGTGCCTTAAGGCCTGGGAGAAGAAGAAGGGGAGGGAAGGGGAAGCTAACACTTGAATGTTTGGAGCCACCTTCCCATGGGCAAAAGCCTTATGCTTAGAAAAATTATTTGTTTCTTGGAATTGCAGCTTCCGATTATGGTATGAAATTGCCCATCTTGCGCTCCAACCCTGAGGATCAAATTCTCTACCAGACGGAACGTTACAATGAGGAAACCTTTGGCTACGAGGTCCCGATCAAGGAAGAGGGCGACTATGTCCTGGTGCTGAAGTTCGCTGAAGTCTATTTTGCACAGTCGCAGCAGAAGGTAAGAAGAAGAAGAAGGAAAAAATCCCTCCTGGGAGGTCAGCCTTTTTTGTGAATGGAACAAAAGCACCATTTGAAAGGCATTGGGGAAAGGTTGGTGGAGCTGGAGGAGGCATCCCAAGAGGCATGGATTGGGTGGCCATCCTGGACGTTTTCCCCTGGACTGTGGAGGGGAACGATCTTAAACTGCAGTTTTGACTATCTAAATTTACTTGTCTCGTGTATGTTGCCATAAAAGGTTACCATTTTGTCCAATTAGCAGCTCTGGATGTTGGCACCCTCTCAAAACAAGGCACAATATGAATAAAATAATATTCCCATTGGTGCAACATTTATTGAAAGCAACTCACAGTGGGCTGAATTATGCAAGATTCCTCATCCAGGAGTGTAGGTGGGTGGATGGCCGGTCCATTCTTCACAGAGAGAATTTTGAGCAACTTGAAAACTCACCTGGGCTGGGCCGGGGCCTGTTTCCCTATGTCAAGGGTGTCAAACTCCATTTCATTGAGGGCTGCATCAGGCTTGTGTTTGACCTCTGAGGGCTGGGGGGCGTGTGCATGGGTGGGCCTGGCCAGCTCAACGTCACTCATGTCGAGGGCACCTGTGGTGGCCAAGTGCTAAGGCAGGACTTCCCTGAGACTCTTCCTCACTCTCATTATAATCCTTCCTTCCTTCCTTCCTTCCTTCCTTTTCCTTTCCTCTTCAATCTCCTCATCTTTCCTTATTTTTCCTTCCTTGCTCTCTTCCCATCTTCCCTTCTTTTTTTTGTCTTTCCACTTTCCCTTTCTCCTTTCCTGTCCCTTGTTCCATGCTCAAATGCAAAAGGGGAAATATTTCTCCCTTTGCTTTGCTTTCAGTTTGTTTTGCCAGTGAAAACTGAGCTTTGGGGGGGGGAGGGGGCACGTGCTGCCCACCGAGCTCCATTTTCACTGGCAGAGGCACCAGAGGCCGGTCCTTTGCTGTTTTCAGGGTGGCCCCGCAGGCCAGATCTAAGGGCCTGATTCAGCCCCTGGGCCTTGAGTGTGACACCCCTGCCCTACGGGTGACAGCAGTTCTGTCTTCGTTTCAACTCGCAGGTTTTTGATGTGCGTCTAAACGGCCACATGGTGGTGAAGGACTTGGACATCTTTGACAGAGTGGGACACAGCACTGCTCACGATGAGATTATTCCCATCAGCATAAAGAAGGGGAAGCTGAGTGTGCAGGGAGAAGTTTCTACCTTCACAGGAAAGCTTAACATTGAGTTTGTCAAGGTAAAGCAAAAAAATAATAATGGCTAAGCCCTTTTCCCCTTCAGGAGATCGGCCGTGTCACCCACCTGGGCAGGCGGAGAAGCTGAGGGAGCCCCATGTCTCTCTCAGCCAGGAGCCAGTCTCGTCTCAAGGGGAAGGGGCCATTAGAGCAGGAAGGAGGCCCAGGTAGTCCTCAACTTACAACAGTTCACTGGGTGTCCGTTTGAAATTACAAGGGCACTGAAAAAAGTGACCTTTTTCGTACTTATGACCCCCATGGTCATGTGATTTATATTCAGTTGCTTGGCAATTGACTCGCATTTATGACGGTTGCAGTGTCCTGGGGTCGTTTTGCTTCCTTCTGATAAGCAAAGTCAACGGGAAACCAGATTCACTTAGCAACTGTGTTACTAATTTAAAAACTGCAGTGATTCACTTAACAAAACATGATGAGGAAAATCGTAAAATGGAACAAACCCACTTAACAAATTTCTCGCCTAACATCACAAATTTTGGGCTCAGTTGTGGTCATAAGTTGAGGACTATTTGTATTTACACATCTTGGTAGAATGCTTTCTGAAGATGGAAAAATGGACAGAGAAATGTTGAAAAGATAGCTGGCTGGGAATCCCAATTCACTTTCTTCCAGTAGTATCGTAAACTGGACCAACTGTGTGGGCTGGTAACAACCCCTGAGAGTCTGGGCGGTGAGCTCTTCTGCAGAGCTGCCATAAGGCCTCCTTGGGCAGCCCCAAACCCGAACCCTTCTTAAAAACCGGCTCTTCCAAAGAAACACAGGGTAACAAAGGAATTCTACCTTCTGTTGCTTTCCGCAGGGGTACTATGATAATCCAAAAATCTGTGCACTGTATGTCCTCGCAGGAACAATGGATGGTGAGTAACTCCTTTCTCTTCCCGTTTCTTCTTTGAACATCCGGGCAAATGGCGGGCGATCCTGTCTCTATCCAAAGGACAGCTGTAGGTCACTCAGCAATAATTTAAGGAAGTTAAGGTGGTGTTGAACTCAGTAGGGTTAAAAGACAGAATCTGTAACCTCAGGAAGAGCTTCAGTTCTGTCAAGCATGGAGTTCAGAAGAGAAATGGCCATAGCACTTAGACTTATATCCCGCTTCACAGTGCTTTACAGCCCCCTCTAAGAGGTTTACAGAGTCAACCTCTTTTTACCCACCCCGGAAGGAGGGAAGGCTGAGTCAACCTTGAGCCTGGTGAGATTTGAACTGCAAAATTGCAGGCAGTTGGCAGGCAGCAGAAGTAGCCTGAAGGACTAAATTCGAACCACTGCGCCACCATGGCCCATATATAAAATATATGTTGTGCAAATGGAAAACCTGATTTTAAGAGACAGATTTGGTCAGTGTTATTTATTTTTGAAGCCTCTGTTCTAAAAAGAAAAAGATGATGTATCTATACTGTCTGATACTAATGATAAACTTAAGGACTGAAGTATTGTTATACTTTAATACCAATAGTAATTATACATTTTTTGTCAGGGCTGCCTCCTCTGAGTTGCCTTGTTTGTGACAGTTGAAGAACTTTTTCTCCAGACTCAAAACCCTGGTGGCACCATAGCCAGAAATACCACCTGGTTTGTTCCCATTGATACTCGTGCTGTCCACAGTGGTGCAGCAGGTGTAAATGCTCAAGGGGAGTGTAATTCTGATCGTGCTGCTTTGGCTTAGGAGCCGGTGGGTTTCCCCCTGTGGTGGAGGTAAGCGAGGAGTTGAAAAGGCCTGGACCTCTTGCCTCAAAGCCAGTATCAGGTTGGCTGTGCTGACGTGTCTGGGCAACATCTCCTGAATGCTGGCAACCCGGCAGAAACCATCTTGGCTTCAAGATTCTGGGCCACCAAAATCCTCATCTGACTTGGCGTTCTTTTCAACGGCAGTGCAAAAATGTGACGATTTGGTCTTTATTCTGGAAGACCCTCTAGAGACAGCTTTAAAATTACTGGAAAAGATAGAGACGTATGGTGAGATGGCTGGTTTGAAAATAAATAAAGACAAAACAAAGATTCTGACAAAAAATATGTTATTAAGGCAAAGAGAAGAGTTGGCAGACCTATTGAAAATTCAAGTTACGAGTAAAGTTAAATACTTGGGGATATTTTTGACGTCTAGTGTACAGTCTTAAGGCAGTCTTGATAACAAAGAACGTCTCTCTCTGGCTGTCCTCTACACACACACACACACACGAGCAAATGTGGCACAAGTTTAGGCTGAGTGACAGCACAATTCTGATAACAGCAGCTGGAGTTAACCTTTCAATCTGTTCAGGGCCCCCGAAAGATAGGAATGAGTCCCCGCCCTGCTAAAAGAAAATAAGAGTTGGAGAAGGTTCTGGCTTTTAAGGGTTTAAACATTAACTTTTTCTATGCAACTGCTACGTGTTTTCCCTCTTGCTTGTGCTTCCAGCCGATGGAAAGATTTTCTTTTGTTAGAAAACTAGACTCAGCCAGCGCAAGTCACCTAAGAAGGGTTTCCTCACGGGAGGCAGGAAAATGCCTCACGCCTTCTGGCTGAAGAGGCGGACGTAGCCCCGTCTTCTCAGGTCCATTTCAGCCGGAAGGAGGGGCTCCCCTTGCCTGCATCCCTTCCCCTAAGTTCTTCCCGCTGCAGCCGAGTCCTGCTGTCGGAGACGACTGTCTGTAGGCAAGCTGGACGGGTTGCCAGGCTAAGCCAGAGAACGTCTGGAGCAGGGAAGTTGGAAGTGGCCATCTGGGAGGGGGGGGGGGGGGGGGGGAGAGATGTCATTCCCAATTGGCTGATCTTCTGTGGGGGGCAGAAGGGGAGGTCACGTGGGCAGGGGCCTGGCTGTTCTGACCTACAGTGTCAGCTATTTGACTGTTGAGAACATCCACAGCAGAGGTGGGATCCAGCCGGTTCTGATCAGTTCTGGAGATCCGGTAGTGGAAATTTTGAGTTAGGTCAGAGAACCATCCAATCCCACCTCTGACTGGCCCCGTCCCCATCTATTCTCTGCCTCCTGAGTCCCAGCTGATCGGCTGGGTCTCCTTTGGTTGCCCTGCCCAGGAGAACGGAGCTGGAAAGCAGGTCAGTGGGGAGGGGATGAAATGGGGTTTTTTGCAGTGTCCTTCCCCTGCCACGCCCACCAAGCCACACCCACAGAACCAGTAGTAAAAACGTTTGAATCCCACCACCGACCCACAGGAAATGGAAGGGAATAGGGGCACAGGTGCCCCAAGAAAAGAAATGGGGAGTTTGTAAACGTGCCAAAAATGCTAACCTGTTGCATTTTGTGGAGAGGCAGACATGTTCATGTGCTGCCTTGGTGGGATTCTGCATTGGCCTTGATAAGGTTTTGCATGTGCATTAAGCATTTTACCTACAGCTTTGAATCTGTAGGGGTGTTTGAATCTTGAGGGCTGTAACGGTTTAGGGCAGGGGTCCCCAAACTTGGCAGCTTTAAGACTTGTGGACCTCAACTCCCATAGCTGGCTGGAGAATTCTGGGAGTTGAAGTCCACAAAAGTGGCCAAGTTTGAAGACCTGGTTTAGGGTTTAGAAAAATGCTTCTTGCCTCCCTGCAATTTGTCTACTTTGCATCATGCTGGTGCATCCATTTTGGCATTGTTTTTCTTCTTTCTACAGATGTTCCAAAGCTTCAGCCTCACCCAGGCCTGGAGAAGAAAGAGGAGGAGGAAGATGAAGAGGAGTACGAAGACGGGTCTAGCCCTAAAAAGCAGGCCAATAAGAACCGGGTCCAGTCAGGCCCCCGCACACCCAATCCCTATGCCTCGGACAACAGCAGCCTCATGTTCCCGATCCTAGTGGCCTTTGGCGTCTTCATTCCAACCCTCTTCTGCCTTTGCAGGTTGTGAAAAAGACAGCAAGCACAGTTGGTCTGCAAGCCAGGGCGGAGGAGTTGGGCCGGATGTGGAGTTGGTCCCAGCTTCTCCATATTTAAGGAAAACAATGGCTTTTTAAGGAGCAGCAGGTACAATAAAGGGAGAGTTTGCATCCCCCTCAGCAGAACTTTGGGTCTTGGCCAGCTGTGGGCCAGCAGCAGCAGCAGGCACCTTTCCTGGCCAGAAGGTCTTAAAGCAGAACCTGGATCTTTGGGGCAGCGAATCCTGCAACGAGCAAGATGGAGTCCAAAGGGGCGGGAGGAAAGGCACACGATCCAAAGGGTTGGCTGGAAAGAAAAGCGGCCCCTGAGCAGCCTTGCTGGAAGGATCCACGGGTGTGGAGGTGGGGGTTAGGTAGACATCCCCTAGGACATTTGTAGCTCAACACATGGTACTTATTTCCTCCTTGACGGATTGATGTTTGGTCAACATGCTTTTGGTTATGGGACAGGTTGAGTAGGTAATCAAGGTCACCTGTTCTGCCAGGCATTCTGAGAAGATTTTACATTCAGGCAAGTGCTTTCCCTGGTCAGGACAATTCTGGCAAGTCTTGAGTTGTCTGATTTAGAGAATTCCCTCTCACCACCACCCCTGGTGTAACTTCAATCTAGTTTCTCTGCCCCATCCCATCCTCCCAACTGCTGTGATTCCACTCTTAGCTCCTCTTCCCATTCCATGTTAACGTGGCACTCCAGCGGGCATGTAGGAAGCTTCCCTGATGGCCTTCCATTTTTCTTGTGCCTGGAGACTCCCCACAATCCAAGGTGGCGTCTCCTTTTTCCTGCTTAAGAGGTCCGTCCAGAGCTAGAAATCTCAAAAGGGTTTTTGTCTTTGAGCCGTTCAGACTTGGCTTCAAGGCAACTTTTGAAAGAGACGCCAGCCCTTTGAAGGGATCCCGCTGGCCATTCCTCTCTCGGGTCTTTTTGTGGGCACAGCCCACAATGTCCTTAAAAGGTGCTTCCTGCTATGGAGTGCAGATTGTATTGTAAGCCAAGGCAGGGTTGCTCGAGTCTAACCTACGGAAAAATTCCCTCCTTGGGTTGTTGGGACTGCTGTGGTTATCTTCCCTAAATATTTACTGGGCTCTAAGGAATATTTCTCTCTCTCTCTCTCTCTTTTGATGTGGCTTTCTGGTTTTCCATTTGCTGTAGGTCTATAAGTGGAATCTGGGCAAAACAAAGGCAGAGTTGAAGACATTTTCCTCAATGGCCTTTTCACACAGAGCAAGGTGATTGTACCTGTCAATCAGTCAGTGGACATTCAGCTCATGGTGCTTGAGCCCCGCAGCGGCCAGGTTGTGCCACCGTATTTAACGTTTGTTCCTATAATCTGTTCCACTTTCCCAGTTTGTGCGCTTAATTTTAAGGCACTTGTCCGGTTTCTTTCCAGTTGCAATCTCAACAGGGAAATGAGCTGTTTTGCATTTTCTTTTCATACTGCTAGTAAACATATTAAACTCAGTCAGCGGCTCTCTTTCTCCAGCTGGCTCAGAAAATTGTCTTCCTGCCCAGATTTGGCTTCCTTTTGGACATTTCACCTCAAAGTAAATTCTTTTTATTTATTTATATATATATATTTCTACTAGACAGTGGTATGCCCGCCCTGCCTCTGCCCCCAAATTTATTTAGGAATAAGCCCCATTTGATTGAAAATGCTGGCAGGGATTTGCAAGAGCCCCACCTGAAAGCTGCTCCCTTTTGCTCTGGTCATGGCTCTAAACTTTCTTTGATGGAAGTCCATCTTTGGTAGTAAGGTGTCCATTTTCATGGCTGCCATCGATGAAGTGACTTCTGGGTTATGCCCTGTGAGACAGTTGATACCTGCTAGCAGAATATAGCAAAGGCTACCTACAGCTAGGGAAATTTCACACCTTCATTGCTTCACTCACATTACCCAGAAGTAATTTCACCAAGTTCTATATTCTTTGAATTCCAACTTGGAAGAATTTGAATTGGAAGCTATTGATGTTGCAGGTCCAGACCGATGAATCTCTTTCTCAGAGCAGGTGGATGTTATATGAGCTCAGGTATGTAGCCATGAGGGCAAGGGGGCTGCTTTTATCTTGTTACTGTTCATTTTTTGAATCCTTCACCTTTAAACGAAAGCCCTTGTAGCTGTTTATTTAGGGGCTGACTTACATTTTGCAAGTGAACAGAACATACAGGCTGCCTTGCCTCACTCGTATCCTAATTTGTCCCACTTGATGGTAAAGCTGCAGGTTTCCTCCACAAACAAATTGAAGATGGAGGAAGACCAGGTGAGATATTGCAACCTCATTTCCATTCCCATTTTTCTCCAGGGCCAGTTACTGATTATCTTCCTGAACGATTGTATTTTCTCTGATTCTGAGAACTCAAAATTCCTAAAGGAAGATATGGTTTGTTTCTGATATGGATGGGTAGACTGAACACAACTGAAATTCTGCATTTCTGGGTCTTGGGGTGTAAAAAAAAAAAGGCAATTCGCTTTTATCATAAGAAGGTTTGGTTCCAGTCATTCACTAGTAAGAGCAGCTTTACCCCTATTTTTTATACAGAGAGAACATGGCCCTAATTTTCCCTCAGAATTTGAATACGTTGAGTGTGGCAAGACATTCTAGTATTTTCCTTTCCTAAAGGAAACTGCAGCAAAGCCAGCATTTGAATCTGCATTTGTTGCTTCTGCCTTTTAAACTTTTTCAGGTATATTCTTTGCATATCAAAAGGTCTTTTTTTTAAGGGAACTTCGTTTTGTAGAAAGTTTGCACAAGAAAGGCCCTTGGAGCCCCATGCTCTGTACACTGGCAGAAAGTGGCGAGGGTCATGCTTTACCTTTCACTTCCTGCTCTGAGATGCCCTTAAAACCATGAGCGTGTGTGAGGGCTTGGTCTTTCATTCCTCTATACTCTGAAAACAAAAATAAAAACAGGTGATCTGTCAAGATCCTTGCAGAGTTGCCCTCCATAAAGCACATCAGAACAGAAGCTGTTCTCCTCTTCCACAGATTTTGCTTTTACAACTCTCTGGTTGTGTTTGTGCTGGGCCTACCCCTACCCCTTATAGGATCTACAAAAGTATTAAGACTGCTGTGACTGGCACAGTTTGATCCAGAGGGTTGGGGGGGGGGTCAGAATCCAGAGGGTTGCCTTGGCATCTTGATTTAGGGACTGTGGTCCTTGAGGCTCTTCTACCTAAGCTGGAGATCTTGAGCTTGCAGGCTGCAAGGGAACGGCGCTCTAAGCTTTGCCTGCCAGATGCCAGAAGGGGATGAAGGTTCCTACTGCTGCCTCCTGTGAGAAGGGTCAGCGTTCTGGGTTCATTTAAGCCAATGCATGCTTTAGTTATGTGGTTGGAGCACCAATCCCTGTGTAGTAGTGTTATTGGGCACAGTGGCATCCGCCTGCCCCTTTTGTGGAATTGTTTTCTTTTTTTGACCTCCATTTTGCTTGCACAACTATAATGCCCTCTCCCTTAGCCAGGAGCGGGGATAAATGCCTGCTTTTTATAGTTCCTGAGGTCCCATCACTCATATACTTATTGAGAAATGTTCCTGTTTTACTGCAGCAATTTAGACATTCAGCAGAGGAAACCTATGAATTGGGTATCATAATTTAAATATCTTGAAGAGCGAAAAAGGGCCCTTTGAGCAACCTTGGGAAAGGCCTGCAGCTGCCTTGGGCTGGAAGGCTCATCAGTGAATCCCAAAGGTAAAACGCTGCTTGGAATTAATTGGGTATCCCGGTGGATGTAGGCCAAGACTCGCTAAAAATATGTCCCATATAAGATGGAAAGGTGGTTGGGAAAGCCTAAGAAAACTGATGTTGTTGGGCCTCCCGGTTGGGCCACAAAGGTAAAGTTGGAGTTGACGCTCTGTTTATCCTAAAGACCTTCAGGTCGCTACAGCCGACCGTAGCTTGCTTCTGAAAAGCCCCAAAGACCCAACACAGCCGTAGAAATCTCTGCTGGAGGATTTTGTCTTCCTTCAGGAGCTTAGCTGGTGGCACACGACGCCTGCTGGCCCCGAATGCTGCTTCCTTCAGAGCAGAGGAGCCGAGGGGAAAGGGAGGCATTGGCAGCCAACCTCCTTCCACTGCCTTTTGGGCTGCCCCCCACCCCTGCTACCCCCCGCAAAGCTGTGCTTGACGGGGATCGGAGAGTGGTGCTTAGCTTCCAAATCGTCGTATTTGACCAGGGCAAAAGTGTTCGTGTGTCCCTGGGTTGGTTTCTTGAACCAAGAGATCACTCCCTGGTTAAACTTGAGGGAAATTATTTGGGGTGCCTTTGGGGAGTGCCTTGAGAGACTTTTGAATTCCCCCCCAGGGAAAGGGCCTGACCTTATGTTCTCTCTCTCTCTCAACTTCACTTCCTAAGCCAATTGGAGTCAGGTCACCTCTGTCACGATCAAAGTTGAAGTGGAGATGATAATCCTTGTTCTTACCAACAAGGCAGATGCAGGTTTTGAGGGCTGCAGTCTCGGCTATCAGAAGATTGAGGCCCCCATCCTTTATTGTACTGTTGTGTATGTTTTTATCTTTTCTATTTGTGTCCCTGCTTGCTAAAGAGGCATTGACAGTGGCCTCTTAGGACAGCCCTAGAACAGAGGTCTCCAGACTTGGCAACTTTAAGACCTGTGGACTTCAACTCCCAGAATTCTCCAGCCAGCTATGCTATGCTATGCTATGCTATGCTATGCTATGCAGCGCTATGCTATGCTATGCTATGCAGCGCTATGCTATGCTATGCTATGCTATGCTATGCTATGCTATGCTATGCTATGCTATGCTATGCTATGCTATGCTGGCTGGAGAATTCTGGGAGTTGAAGTCCACAAGTCTTAAAGTTGCCAAGTTTAGGGACCCCTGGCCTAGAATGTTTGCTGCCAGGTTACAAGCTTGGGCGGAATCTGTCCTTACGCTGGTTTGCCATTCATTTACTTCAAAGTCAATACATAATTCTGAAGCAGGGTGGTGCGTGCAACTGTCCTTTACTTTTGTGTCTTTTAATAGTTTGCATTGGTTCTTTTTATTACTGGGATGTGTGTAGGTGTGCATTTAATATTGAGCTTGGGCAAAGGGTAAAAAAAAGCACATATGACTTTTGTCTGACTACATTGGCTTTGCAAAAATATTTCTTTTCCTGGGGAAGTGAAATAGGTATGGATGAGTTCTGCATTAATTATTCCCTCCACCCCATTTTTTGGTACATTTAGCTGTTCGTTTGTTTTTTTAAATACATTTTGTTGGGTTTCTCTTTTTTTCTCTCAGGATGTCTGGTTGAGGGAAATATTCTGAAATCTACTGCCTGGCAGTTTTAACCAGCAGTGTGTTAAAAAAAATAAAAATTATATTGTCACTTAAATGAGCCGGCGTTTTTATTTTTTTTAAGTGGAAAGATGGACGGTCGCTGCTTGAAACTCTAACTTGCACCTAACTTAAAATCCTTCCCAAGCTGGCAGTTATATCATTGCCTCCATTCGTGTTAAGTTTGCTTGTTCTTCTAAGTGCAAAAATCAAACAATCAAACTTTTTATTGTCAATGCACAACATGTGGACAATGAAATTGAAAAAACAAGGTTGGTGGTTTAAAAAAGGTATTCCCTTTCCTCTTCTAGTAAGGTGTGTTTTCACTCCTCTGCCCAATTCTGTTATCGAATCCGCTTTAGGACAGTCTCAACTTTGAACGAGGACTTCAACTCCCAGAATTCCCCAGCCAGCAAGTCCTGCAGGCTTAAAGTTGCCAAGGGTGGACACCCTTTGAACGTTGCGCTAGGCTGCTCCAAAGAAACCGTCTCCCGAGGCGACCGGTTGGGAAACGGCTCCAATGGAGCCGCTGGAGGCCACCCCGCCCGCCCGCCGGCAGAGGCTGCCCCGAAGGAGCCGCCCGGCGGGGAGAAACCGAGCGGGCTCGGGGCGGGCCGGCACCGCGCGAGGAAGGGGGCGTGGCCGGCCGGCCGTTTCTAGGGGCGGCGCCCTCCCCTTGATAGGCCGCGCGCCCCGCCCCTCCGCTGCCATGGCTACCGGCGGGCCCGAGGGAGAGGCGGCGGCCATCTTGGCAGCGGCGGCGGGGCCGGCCCGGCGATGAGCGGCTCGAAGCCCAGGGTGGCCGCGGCCGGGCCCGGCGGGGCGCTGAGTCGCCTGCGCGGGCAGAGGAGCTCCAGCACGGCCAATGCGCCTCCGCGGGCCGCCTTGCCGCCTCCGAGGACGGAGGCCGAGCTGCTGGCGCTGGAGGCGGTGCGGCCCGAGCACGTCCTGGGACTCGGCCGCGTCACGGAGCGTGAGTAGCCAGCCGCCTCCCCACAGCCCCCTCTGGGCCGCGGGTCCGCTTCCCTTCGCCCGGAGCTTCCCCGGGGGAGGTTCCCGCCCGCGCTGCGGCCTCCTGGGCGGGGAAGGAGGCCTGGTCAGCTCCATCCTTGGGGGCGGGGGGAGGAAGGACCGGAGCCTCTTCAAAAGGCCCCCCGGTTCCCTTTGCCCGCTCCTGGAAGCTTCCTCGCCGCGTGTGGAAGTGGCCTTCGGCCGGTTGCTCCCCGAAGGCGGAGTCCGTCGGTTGGGGGCGCCCTCAGGGCATCGGGAGGGTCCCTTTGGGCGTTTGTTTCCTCAGAGGAACGGAGGGAGGGGCTACAATGGGCCTTTCGAGGGGGGGGGAGGGGTCACCCACAAGGCCCGATGGCAAACAAAGGTCGGGGGGAGGGGAGGGTCTGCCGGCTTTTCTGATCCCGAACCAGCCCCCCCCCCC